ATGGTCTTCTCAACCCAATCAATGTCTTTGAGTTTTGGTGTTAGAGAAGAGTACCAAATATCTCATGGAAAGCCAAAAGAACAATCAAATATGTCTTAAAGCAAGTGCAGCCATAATGCTCCCAGAGGGAAGGATGTGAATCTTTCATCTCATATTCTTTGGGCATAGTGTTAGGAAGGGCTGCTCCATGGAAAGGGAGATCAAGCTTGAAAAGGTGGAGGGTCAGAAAAGTAGATAACCCTTAATGAGATGGCATGACACAGTGACAGTGACTACAGCAATGTGCTCAAGGGTATCAGAGATGATTAGGCTGGCACAGGATAGGACAGAATTCAGATCTGTTGGTTCATAGAGTCACTAGGAGTCATATTCAAATCAACACCCCATGCCAACAAAATCACCACCACCACCAATCCAACCCATCATTCCCACAGAGTGATTAAAAAGAAAACTGAAGACTCCCAGAGGAGCAGCGATGGTGGCCGTGGCGCCTCTCGGGGCCCTGGCACTGCTCCTGCTGGCCGGTCTCTTATGCTGCTCAGCAGAGGCCTGTGTGGAGCCGCAGATCACGCCCTCCTACTACACCACCTCGGATGTGGTCATCGGCACGGAGGCGGTGTTCATCGTAGAGATCTCCCTGACCTGCAAGAACAGGGTTCAGAACATGGCTCTGTATGCAGACATCAGTGGAAAGCAGTTTCCTGTCACCAGAGGCCAGGATGTTGGACGTTACCAGGTGTCATGGAGCCTGGACCACAAGAGTGCCCACGCAGGCACCTAGGAAGTCAAGTTCTTTGATGAGGAGTCCTACAGCCTCTTGAGGAAGGCTCAGAGAAATAACGAAGACATTTCAGTCATACCGCCTCTGTTCACAGTCAGCGTGGACCACCGGGGTACCTGGAACGGACCCTGGGTGTCCACAGAGGTCCTGGCCGCAGGGATTGGCCTGGTGATCTACTACCTGGCTTTCTGCGCAAAGAGCCACATCCAGGCCTGAGGGCCAGTGGAGAGTGCGGACCCTCAGGCCCTCCTTTGACCCTTTTAATAAACACCTCTTCGGCCACCAAAAAAAAAAAAAAAAAAAACAAAAAACTGAAGCAAAATTGATGCCTTTGACTGTGGTGTTGGGGAAGAATATAGAATATGACTTGGATGGCCAAACAAACAAATATGTCTTAGAGAAAGTGCAATCAGGGTGCTACTAAGAGGCAAGGAAGGTGAAACTTACTCTCACGTACTTTGGAAATGTTGTTAAGCATCTGATGAGTCAAAAGTTTACAGGTAAGGTGGGTTGATGATTTAGTCCAGAGGTAATGAGCCAGACGCAAGACAGAGCAAATGTTCTGCTAAATTAAGCTAAAATGAGTTAAGTAATGCAAACTCAGTGCCTCTGTGCCTCAGGTCTGCCTCACGGCTGGTTGGTTAGTTGATGTATGCTGTCAAGTCGGACCCGACCCACAGCTGACCCATTAGTGGGTTTTCCAAGGCATTAAATCACACAGGAGGAGATCACCTGTTTTTCTCCCATAGAGACACTGGTGGATTTGAACCACATGCTTTTGGGATTGCAATGCAGCCCACAATTGGGTTTCAGAGATTGTAAATCTCATGGGAGGAAACTACTCATCTTCCTTTCAGGGAGTCATTTGTGGGTGGATTCACACAGCCTTTGGGTTAGCAGTTCACTTGGTGTGAACTGCATCACCCTAATTGGGTATTTTAGATAACTGTCAATTTGTACTCCTATCATTGACATCCGTACTTACTGGATTACTCCTGTCAGCTTTGTTACTCTCTTGTCTTCACACTGCCTCCAGTCAAACACCTTAATTAATTCCAATCATTAAATCATTCACTAAATAAATATTCAAGGCAAACTTACTTTATACTTGGCATAAATTTAGGACACTGTGGTGAATGTAGTGGCAAGGCTCAATCAACCCAAAGGTATGTGGTTCTAAGCTGCCACCTGCTCCATGGGAGAAAGATCACCTCCTGTGCAATTTACTGCCTCTTAAAACCTACTGGAGAGTCAGCTATGAATCAGTTCCAACTCAAGAACACTCAACAGCAACAACAATAGTGGACACAAAAATGAAATATCCACATCTTACACTGAAAAAGGGAGTTCTGGTGGCCTAGTGGAAAGAAGCTGCACTGCAATCCCAAAGGAACGTGGTTTGAGACCACCAGCTGCTCCATGGTAGAAGGAGTGGCAATCTCATCCTGCGCAATGAACTGCCTCTGAAAACCCACAGGACAGTCAGCTAGGGGTCAGCTCTGACTCAATGATACACAACAACAATACTGAACAAATATCTTATTCTCTTAAATCATATCATATGCACAACAAATACCATCTCAGAATTTCTCTTACATCTCAAATGATCTCACTGGCCCTGGCAATATATAGTTGAAGAGAGCATGAATGATGGATAGGTTGTATTTCCTCCTCTGTATTCACTCATCATCCTTCTCTACTCTTCTCTTTGCTCTGGAAAGCTAATCTGTATGGATTATAGGCTTACTCTCTGGTTTCCAGTTGAGTTGGCCAAGAGAACACCTTTCAGCAAATAGAGGGAAGCAAAAGCACATTATACACACACACACACACACACACACACACACACTTATTTTCTTCAACCTTGCCATTATGAAATCATCTCAGACAATGTTCCTCAGTTGAAGGTCATTGTTTTTCAAGGGATCTACTTACTACATGCCTCCCTCCTGCTGGGTCTTAGTAACTACTCACTCCCTTCACACTCTTTTAGCTGTTACTAGCTCTAGGGAATTGTGCTATATTTTGTGGTTCCCCTACAACTGCCCATACCTTGTAAATAACCCATTTATTAAACCTTCAAATTATCCTCATTTGAGTTTGCCATCTGTTTCCTGCTAGCATGCTGACTGATATACCATGTGTCTCAATTTTTAGTTCAAAATATATAGGCACTAGACACACAAGGAAACTCTCAGAGGCACTTTTTGGAAAATAATTGAAGTAAAGAAGGAAGATTTCAAAAAATCTTGGAGCATAGAGAATCTAAGATTATAAGAATATCAATCATCATGATCACTAGCTTCTGAGGCCAAATTTGGCTTTTGGGTAACAGCCTTACTTCACTTTGTTCAGCTATTTGAGACCAGAATAAACATCTTTTGAATAATAGAGCTAAGAAAATTTTTCAGTTAAGAGTGGAACCAACTTCCATGTTGAACCTACTATAGTCATGTCTCCTGTCATAGCCATCGAACTGGTTCTCACTCACACCTGAGTCACTAGCGGGTGAATTGCATGGACTAAGAAGACTGATTTGCTTGCCTGCTTTAATTCAATGGTGGATTCAAACCTGTAGAGAAGCTTAGTCTTCAGGTTACCAGCACAACCCCTTACAGACTATATCATCAAAGCTCCTTCTGTACTGTCTCAAGACTGAATCTATTTCTCCCTCCTTATGTGCTAGACCCACACATATAGTGTCTACTGTCAATCTTCCACTTGAGACTATGTAGATGGACCAATATATCAACTTTAGAGATGTAATCCATACTTATTGGAGATTCATAAGAATCTAAACTTCTTATCACCAGCTTATTTTTAGAAACAGAAAATCATGATGTCTTGCCTTGGGTATGAAGAATAATTTCACACTCCTGATTTCAGTAGAAGAGAAAAAGAGAAAGAAAATGTAATAGAAAGTATAATTCCTTCGTTCTTTAGACTTTGAAACTAGTATAAGACTGGGCAGGTTTTTGTTGTTTTTTCTTTTCTTTTGTACACAGGTTTGCTATGTGTGGGAACTGACTCAACAGTGCTTAACCAATGGCAACTCCAAAGATGTCTATGTCCTAATACTTGGAATCTGTTAATGTCTTATATTGAAAATCTTTTGATGAGGAAAGTTATTCTGGATCATCTGGGTGAATCCATAATAATCCCAAGAGCCCTTTTTTTAAAAAAAAAAAAAAACCCATTTACTTTATTTCATTATTTTTTGTGTGTACCGTCAAACCAGATCTGACTGGTATAGGGGGAGATTGTTCCTCCTTCTCCAGCAGAGCATCTGGTGGATTTGAACCGTGCACCTCTGAGACTATAGTTGCAGCTTCTTGCCACTAGGCCACCTGAGCTCCCAAGAGCCCTTTGAAGAGATAGATGGAATAGTCAATACTAGTGTAGTGTCACATGTTAAAGCCATTATTGGCTTTGAAAGTGGAAAGAAACTGTGAATTATGGAATGTGGATAGCCTCTAGATGCTAAAAAGGGCAAGAAAATCAGTTTACCCTATGACAACGAGAAGAATTGAGTTATGCCAACATCATTATTTTGACATATTGAGAACAATTTTAGATCTCTAAAATTTAGACCTCTGGAGATACTGGTAATAAATATTTGTTGCTTTAGACCACTAAATTTGTAGTAATTTTTTTAAATCAATAATAAGAAATAAGCATATAAGGAAAGACTAAATTTTCCAGAAGCAAAGAATTAAATCTAGGGCAGGGAAGAGGGCTCTAGAACTGATGGCCGGCACAGAGATAAATCACATCCAGGCCATAACAAACATGCTATACACCACTTGCTAATGAATCTTTACTGCAGGCAAGCTGGATTCACTAAGAAACAAATACACTCATCATCTCAGAGGCTCACATTCATCAAATGTTTTCAGGCCTCTGGTTAACACCAGTGTAAGCATCTTCTCTCTCCAAAATTTTGGGATTCAAAAGAACTTTCTAATTTTATTTGTCTTTACAGCTTTGTACAAAATGGGGATAAGCATTTGTCATCTCTCTTAAACTATTACTTCCTGGTACCCACTACAGCAATTCTTTTTACACAGAAAACAAAATAATTTTTTAAAGTCTCAGAACATATATTCTACAAAGCACCAGTATTCATTATTTGCACATTGTAGAGTAAAATGTCATTGTTTAGTCTCTATCCTAAGGCTGCCTGACTCTGAATGTGATACCCATCCGGCGCAGGCCTTACCACGCTCTGGCCCAGCTGTTCACGAAAGAAGTAATCCATGTTTCTCTTCTGCAGACTGTCAAGGTAATGCTGGAAGCGAGTGTATGTGTACGGGTAGCAGTAAGCAAACTGATAAGTGTCATCTTCTCGGTCAAAACAAAACGCAAAGGACATCACATAATTCTTCCGATGGTCCGGGCAACGGTAGTAGTAAACATTTTTAGGTGGCAGCCGTTGCCTGAAAGATACAAAGAAATTTGGGTACATCAGATAATTGTTCAAGCTTTAAAAGGTAATTGTTGTTACTGTGTACCATCGAGTCAGTATCAACCCATAGCTGACCCTCTAGCAGGTTTTATGAGGCAGTTATTACATTCGGGAGGAGATGGCCCATCTTCCTCCCAAGGAGCAGCTGGTGGATTTGAACTGCATACCTTGGTGATTGCAGCACAGTTTCTTGCCACTAGGCTACCAGAGCTCCTTTTAAAAGTAGTAAAGAGGACAAATCCCCAGGAGAAATAAACTATAGCATTAAGAATAGAGGGAGAAAAAGGGAAGCATATACCACTTATAGTTGAAAACAGAGTGGAATCTGAAGTTATTTTGTTCAACTTTTATCTCTGTTCTCAAATTGTTATGAAAATTCAAAGTTAAATGAAGATGTACACATTTTATTCATTCATTCAACCACTGTTTCTAAGCACTTATGTGTCCAGGTTATTATGCTGGATCTGTGATATAAAAGGATAAAAAGTTTAATCAATGTCTCTATTCTAGTGGGGAAATAGTTGAAAGAAATTTTTAAAAAATAGACCTTATAGTTGTACTCTCTAAAGAGGTAGCCTGATAATCAATAAAGAATGTGTTGCTTTTGGAAACATAAATGAGAGTGACTTTTCTCTTTCCAGAAAAATCAGGTTTCTATGACACTTATTTTCTATGGAATACCTCAAGAAATAGTCCTTTAAAATATTTTGTGTGAGTAATTTAGCTAAGTCATCATGCTTGTTCTGAAAGGAACATTAAGACACATATACGAGAAAGCAAAGAACATTGCAATCATAGTCCTCATCAAGTATTTACACTAATACAGATTCAGGCTCACAGCACCCTGATATGTTTATGATCTCCAAACCCTTCAAACTGTTGTCCTATAGGGGATGCCTCTCCTTGCCATCTTTGTAAATCTAGTTAACCCTACAAAGCCCATTTTGATTTCTCCCTTTTCCATGATCCTCCATTTATAATTCCAAGCCAATCCAGCTCACATGTTCTGAGGTAATTCTTGCATTGTAACTGACTAATTTATAAACCTTATCATCTAGGCTAAATGGAAGTTCCGTTAGGGAAAAATGATGCTTCTAGGCATGGAGGGGGCACTGGCCCAGCATGCAGAGAATGAAAGGCTCAACTCTAGTGGCTAAGCATTCTGAAAATCCAAGGTACTAGAGAACATATGAAGGGAGGTGCAGAAATGAGGAGATGGGTGGTGAGGTTTAAGAAAACAGTTTGACTCGAGATACTGAAGCCTAAAGAATATTGTTAGTGGGTCAAAGATAATTATTATATGACAGAATTTGTTACAAAATCTTATTTCACCTCAATATATTTCTGAGACCAGAAAAGAAAAGTCAGGTTGCCTGAAGCCAAATGAGAAAGGTCAAGCCGCCTCAGTGACCAGAATGGAAAAGGAGGCTTTGGGCTTCTTCTGGGAGAGAAGTGACTACATGGGACTGGTTTTTTTACCTGCGTAAAGTCAGCTGGGGAGATCAAATTACCTGCACAAGATGGCTCCTGTGATTCCAGTCACAGAGGCTTATGTTACATGCCTCTAACTATGTATGTTATAAATCCTAGCCAAAAGTTGAGTGGTATGTAAAGAGGCAAAGAGGATGACAAGAGAACAAAGGAAAAATGGAGTAGAGCTAGAGGATAGAAGTGAGGGGAGAAAAGGAAGAAATAGAAGCAAAGTTTCTAGAGTCTATTCAGTATCTCATTTAATCTTCATAGTAATTCTGTTAAGGTGGGTATTGTTTCTCCAAAAGAAGATGTGGTCATGGAGGATAATAAAAGTAAAATGTAATGCTAGTTGATGGCAAAGCTGTAATTTAAATTTGTTTGTCTGATTCCAAGACAAGCAAGTATATAGTTCTTCCAGTTCCTTCACATGCCAAATGCAAGTGTGTACAAAGACCAATAGAAAAGAGAAAATGTGAAATGGTGGAACTATAAAGAATTCATAATGCTGAAGCAGAAAGAAAAATAAAAATGGAAAGTGGAGAGCTTTGCAGAGGGATAAGAACCACATAGAGCCAAGTTTGGAGAAGAAAATTGGCTATAGAGATAAAATATGGAATTCTGTACTTGTGATGTGATTGAAGATGCATAAATGTGAAGCTGGCAGAGAAAGCTAAACTTAGCCTGTTCCAGTTTCAAGGCCACTGTCAGTGAAAGTGCTCTTGAGGACCCCAGCATCTGGCCTGTAACAATCCTCCAGATTCCAACTCATGGGTCTGAGTCTCTTGAAACCTAGGGTGAGCATGTCTCCTTTTGCTTGTGATTCCAGTAGTCACAGGCCTCTCAGGCTCTGAAGCTGATGTTTTCAGTTCTAAAATTTACTAGTATATTGCAACAGGATGCGTGTTTGAAATACAGTCACCCCAGGTTTCTGCTTTTCTAGCCAAGTTCAGCAACCTGACTCTGAGAGTCTGCAGTCTGCACCAGATTTGATTAGGTACTATCAGGAGAATTCATCTAATGCCTGCAGCTGCCCCAGCATCTTTCCTGGGTGGTTTGGGATCCTAACCCGATTAGCAGACAGAGTGGAGGTAATGGGCCCTGGGGTAATCATTCAGAGAAGCTGAGATGCTGAGATGCTGCTCAGGGCCTGGATTTTCTAGACCTGCTGAAAATTCAAAGAGAAACCTATTTGAGGAAGGTTCAGCAGACAAAATTTATGAGAACCTTCAAGTAATGCACAGCAAAAAGGCAAAATGGAGTAGTGCCAAGGAGGGGAAATGTGTTATTTGGAATTCACTTCTCCCTACCCCCTTTGTTTTGTTTATTATGCTCTGCTATCAAACATTGATAAGTGTTTTATATCAATTGTAAATTCCTCATAATCACTCAAGGAGACAAAGGTTATTAGCTCTTTGCCCCTTTATACAGGCAAGAATATTGAATCTCAGAAAAGTAAAGCAAAACCAAGCCTTGTTTAGATCACAACCTTTGCTGAATTCTGGTCAGTGTGATAACAGTCTGCTCAAAATCACTGCAATATCTTGCCACCCTTCTTTCTTCCATTACCTTCAACTATCCTGATCTTCTTCTTAAAAAAAAAAAATAAAAACTCTTTAAATACACCTCATCCTTCTATTTCACCACGACCCAGAGGCTCCCCATGGACTGTGCCCTGCCTGCCCTCATCATCTACCACTCTATGGTACTGAATTCTGCATTATTCACAGTGCACTAAATAAATACAATTCACAGTTCCCGAAACACAAATCTGTGCCTCTCTTTTGTACTTGCTTTTTCTTTTGCCTGGAATGTCTCCCCTGTAATCTTGTTTACTTGATGAACACCTAATCATAGTTGTGTCATACAATAGAATGTAAAAAAGTTTATTTTTTTTACTTCAATTTTTTTTAATTTAAAATAAAATTTTTATTTTATACTGGTTTACTTAGAAATTTTATATACACTGTTTTTCATACCGAATCTTTCCCATTTCCTTTATCCACTCCTCCCTCCACCCAAGCAATTGTGCAACCCTATGATTAACCCCCCCGTCTCCCCCCCAGTCCATCCTCACCCTTCTGTTCCCCCCTCCCCCGCTTAGCCTCTCATACACGTTTTACAATAATGGTCATTTACTATATATCTTTAAAAAAAGAATGATTAATGAATAAAAGAATATTTAAACAAACATCTATTCTTTAACATATCTCATTTCTGAAGCCTTCCCTCACTATTCAGGCTTCATTATTTTTCCTGAATATTTATAGACTATATAAAAAATAATTTTATCAACATGTTGTCACTTAATAATAAAAAAGACAAGTGAGATGAGAATGACTATTTCTTCAAAAAGAAAACAGGGTTCTTGAAGGTAGAAACCATGTCAAGCAATACTTGCTTAGTAAAAAAAAAAGCAACAAAAAGAGACTTCAGAAAATGAATGGTGGGTATTATGGGAGGCAGATTTTAGCTCAATATACAGTTATTATTGTTGTTGGTGTTGTTAAGTGCTGTTGAGTTGAGAATGACTCATAGCGACCTGATGAACAACATCTTTGAACCCTGTCGAATCTTGTGCCATCCTTACCGTAACTGATGCACGTGAGCCCATTGCTGCAGTCACTGTGTCAGACCGTCAGGCTGGAGGTATTCATCTCTCTCACTTATCCTCCACCTTTCCAAGCATGAAGTCCCTTTCCAAGGAATAACCTCTCCTAACAACATGCCCGAAGTATGTGAGATGATATGGTATGGGGTCAAAATTACTATCTTCAAGGTGTAGGATTCCTGCTCAAAGGCTGGAATGGTGTAGAAATGAATGTATTTAATATTCAGCTGAAGGGAAGCCAGAGAAGTCTGTACTGTAAGAGGAGTACAAGAGTGCGAAGTTATAAGGAACAGCATAAAAAGTCCCGGTACTTGCTGTTAGGGTAGACAAGGCAACATTTCACTCTTATATAATAGTCTGAGATAGCAATGAAATAAATATAGCAATAATGATGAAGATGACTACATTATTAAGAAAACCAGTTGCTTTTGAATCAACCCCAATTCAGAGTAACCCCAGGGGAATTTGAGCAAAACTGTATGCTAAAGGGATCCATTTGAAACTCTATGAAATTTGATAGATATCTATAGTTATAGAGGGGCTTCAGGCCTTTTGTTCATAGGGTTGCTACAAGTCGTGCTGGACTAGAAGGCAATCAACAACATTCTGGAAGTAAACTGATAGGCCTTGTTTTTATTCCCCTGAGGCACCTCAGAAAAAACCTCCAGACTTTCAGCAGCCAATACATTAACTGATTGCACAATCTGGATACTTCATGATCCCCAAAGCTAATGCATGTGTGAGGGCCTCTGGTTGTTGGCAGTAACGAGTTGTGCTGCTAATCCAGATACAGGTTGTTCCTTGGTGGCAAATCCACAAGTTGCTCTTTGGGGGAAAGACAGTCTCCTTCCAGCAACTTATAGTCTCTGAAAACCCACTCAAGGGACAAC